AGAGCTTTGATCTGAGGCTACAGTGAAGGCTACCTTGGGAGATAACATTCGGAGTATCTGCGTGAAGGGTCGTAAGAATTGAGAATGAAGGCTTCTGCCGATATATGTAGGCTGTCTCCTCGGAACTTCAAGACCTAACGTTAAACTTGGGTCACACGAGAAGCCTACACGTAGGAGGATTGGGTGCGTTATCGCGGCACCTCGCGGTAGTTCTCTGGGGCGGGTTAGCATATATATATATTTTTTTTTTCCGCGTATATATGTGCATATATGTAAAGTTCTTGAAGTTCTTCTGTTCCTGTAAGGCGATTGGCTCATGTCAACCTGTGTGGCCCAAGCCATACAAGCCTTGCGAAAAAAGCTGCTCGGCTGAAGCAAGTGAGGTCACAATTGCTGAGTCGTTGCTTTGTATTTCTATGTATTCAGGAGAGTGAGGGCCCGCTAGACTGTTCGACACTGCTGGGGATTCTTGTGGAAAGTTTGGGACGACGCGTCTCTTGTTGGAGGGGATGATATGATGATAAGATGCGCTGGTTGCCCCTTGATGTTGCGAGAGCTGTCATTGTGCACCAAAGTCCAGATCAACTGTGTGATCGATAGATGCCGCTGTTTTCGATGTATCCATCAGTCCCGTGTCCTCCGTACTTAGTATCTCAGTCATGATGAAGGGTCAGCTTGACCAGAATGAGTTGTTATTTTCATGTTTGGGGTGTTGGTGGTGATCATTTAATTCTAACGACGACAATGCTTCCGGAACATCGTGTAGGACCTAGGGACCCCTCCCAAAATTAGAGGTTCCTTGTAAGTTAGGGTTTTTGTGCAAGTTAGGGTTTTTGCTAGGTTTGTTATCATGGGTTATTTTTGATCCTTGCATGTTGTTCATATGTATTGCAAGTACTTGGAGCTGAGATGGGCCAGCAGACCGGCCGGAGAAAATGGCACGGCTGGGCACCGAGAGCCGGGTTCACGGCCAACTTCGGCATCAAGCTGTCGGGACTCGCTCTAGGGATTGTGTGTGGAGAAGTATGTAACAGAGAGAGAAAGAGAGGATGGGGTTGGGAGGCAACTCCCTACCACAAAGTGAGAGAAAAGTGCGTATGTTTGTGCGTGTGCATGAGCGCCCATGTGTGTTTCGGCGCTTTTCAACAAGAGGAGACCTCCAGTACGCGAAATCGCGGAGGCACATCAACGCAGTGTCCGTAGGCTGTGTTAGGTTGTGCTGAAAAAGAGGCCGTCGTCTTCTGTCCGCTGGTGTAATCAGACTCGCTGTGTTGTGCTGAAACCTTCGGGAATCACAAGCACTGTACAGCCGAGCCAGCTGCGACCCAGAATCGATAAAGCCCCAGAGACTCGCACTCGGCGTTCGTGTAAAACTGCCCCAGAAAAGAAAGAAGGATGATTTCACAAAGCTTGAAGATTGTGAGTTGCTGGCGGGGCATCTGTGCCCACGTTAGGAGAGCCAAGGCCGGCAAGAAGACATGGCTACTTGTGGACAACATTGAGAACGGCGAGAAGAAGACTGGCGGAGGCCAGTCTCCGAAGAGCGACAAGCATACCAAAGCGATGCAGGTCGGAAAAACCTGAGCAAGAGCAAGTAAGTTCGAGAAGTCAGTCATCCGATAGAACTCACAATGTCATGCTCAGCACATCGACTTGTTTGCAAGACCGCCGACACCGGAGACAGAAAGCCACGGACCTTATGTAGCAGCGGTTCGTGCTGATCTCTGGACGCCGCACGTGATGGCCTATGCAGGTGCAACCCAGTCAACCTCTAAAGGCTGAGGCCAAGGCGATATCTGCAGCCACTTTAGATGGTTTGAATCCACCTGCCGGGGCAGCCGGCAGCTTTGCTCGACGGACCCGCGATAAATCGCCGCGACACCGGCCAATCTTGCCTTTAGTGTCGATGTGAATGTTGACTCCCGTTGTCAGAGCTTGACAAACTAGAACAGAAGCCGATCTGCAGCCAACACTTGTAGTAGCAGATGCCTTTCAGGCAACTTTCAGGTATCTACTAAGCAAAATTTGCGGTGCTCAGGCGTGGTGGTGGAACGTGCTGCGATGGAAGCAGCCATGGGTGCCGTGCTTCACGATTTCCCATCATGTCTCATCTCAGGGTTTCGTTTTAAGGGTGGCCTCCCAGTGAGCGATGAATCGGGGAGGGGCTCAACACGTGAAACAAGCTCTCGACAGCCGCCATCTTCGAAACGGACTTGTTCCACTGCAAGAGCAATGTCGGCGATTGTGGTTGTTGTTCCGAGAGAGGAAACACAAAGAACTTTTGGTCATACACGCATGAAGCCACGCAGTACTCCAAGCAGTTCAAGCTTCCAGAAGCAGATTCTCCTGCGATGCCACTTTTTTGGTATGTCTTGCAAGCTAAGACGGCAACCTACCGACTACGGCCGTCCCAAGAGAGATATATACACGTATCTATGAACTTGTATGTACATACTATATGGCTATCTATCGATCTCCCTATCTATCTATCTATCTATCTATCTATCTAACTATCTATCTGTACGGACGTGCCTACATATACACATGCACACACACACACACGCACGCACACGAGTTGCATCTTCTAAGGTCAGGCAAGCCTGGAGATGGCAACCTTGGCTGCCCTGCTGACGATCCTGCAGCGGCGCCGCTACAAGGCGGCCGCGCGACCTTGACAGTCTGTGATTTCGAGAGGCGGAGGACCGCGATGCACGAGGAAGCATGGTGTCGGTTGCACACATAATTTAAGTGGAACTAAGCCATGGCTTGGTTGTAGATAACTCGGTAAAGATATAAGTAGGTGCGTACAGGGAACTGAAAAGCCCCTGCATGTATGTACGGATGGATGGATGGATGGATGGATGTACTTGTGTTTTTGTGTAGGTGTGTGCTATTTTTTCACCGCAGCAGGCACTGTACTTTGCCGTGGGGCAGAGAAGAGCTAGTTGCCGTCGCAAAGGCGACGATTCCTTGATTGTTTGTGGTGGTATTGCAGGGTGCTGTACTACAAGGGTACATAGGCTAGTGGATCCGACGGGGCTGAGAAGCTTTCAAGCTATCTTACTGTTGCGAGTCCTGTTGAGCGCCAGGCAGCTTCAGAGCTTCCTTTCAAAAGGTGAAGGATTTTTGCACAGAAATTCTGGAAGTCAATGTTCAGACGGTTGCACAAGGATGCAGGATCTTCCCATGTGCACGAGAAATGTTTGGCACCTGGCCGCATGGTTAAAGAGCAGGAAGAGAGGCTTTAGGACTCGGCTTACGAGGACACAGCCGTTGCAATTGCTTAGGTCGCCCTCGGCTATCGTGGCATGAGCGGTGCGCTCCGGGTGGTGGAGGCTCCTTGGGGTGATCGAAGGGCGTTCAGGTGTTTGGTACGATCTCTTGATCATGACGCGGCATGGGGCTTGTGAGTAGAGCTGCAAGCACCAACTGAGAATCAGGCAGAAGAAACCTGCCTCTGGCCTGTAAGTCTAACAGTTGACTTGTGCAAAATTTGCCAAGCTGAGGTCGAGCTCGAACCAGGCCTCACCTTCAAATCCTTGGTGGCAACTGCAGCACTGCCTCACTTCAAGGGGTATAGGCTTTCCTATGACCACGACACCAACATTCTGCAATACAAAAAGTACACTGTAAAACTATAGTCACATTTTATGGGCAGAGTTTCACTAGAAGACTACCAATATACTATTGTGCTACCATTACAGGGACGGTACAACAGCATCACTGTAGTATGACAGTCGTTTGGTTGCACATGTTTCTGCTCGTTCAATATCCTCGCTCGGACATTAATTGATTGTCGGCGGCAAAAGTTCCAAAGTTTGCCTGTGTTTGTCACCCTAGAACCCTAAGCATCGCTTGGATGTGGCAGCTTCTTCTTGAAGGCTGCAGGTCCGTTGGCTACACACTGGAAATACAAATGCCTACCACCCCTACCATCTTACACCCGCAACGTCATGTTCACTGGCCTTCCGTGGAGCATGTTCTCATACTGACAGGAGCAACCGTCGTCTGACATTGAAATGCGATGCAGCAAACAAGCAGATGTCCTCCGGGTCGTACTCGCGTAGACACAGCCCCAGACCGAGACTTGTCAAACCGCTTATCTCCAAGCTGGTGATCTCGAGCGCCCTACCCGATAGTCGAAGCTTTTCCGATCTTGAGCTCCCAGAACGTCACAACAACTCCTCTAGACTCCTCGTAATTGGGCAAAGTTAGGCTAGGAGAGTCGATAGTCCAACCCCTGTCCTGAACGCAAGCGGTTAAGGTAACGGGCTTGCTCGCCAGTGGCGAGAGCAGCACAGAAGCACCCGAGGCCAGTCTTTACCTCGTCCAGCCTTGTGACGTCTGAAGCTGCCACTTGCGACTTGAAAGGGTATCCACGTAAATTGATCGTGTGTGTGTGTGTGTGTGGGTGGAAGGTCACCCTCTCTTTCGGGGCCTCGACCGAAGTGCGCGAAGTGGGCCTGGGCGAGTGGATCGCCAGCCTGGAGGGGACAAGCTTGGTGCTCAAGGGGCCAACAGTGGAAGAGGAGGAGTCCTTCAAGGCCTGCTTCGAGGCCTTTGCCAAAGACCCCAACCAGAACCTCTTCGAGGTCAGCTTTGTGCCCAGGAGCGCTGCTGAGGCCGTCAAGCGCTGGGGCTCTGCCACCAAGTCCTTCAGCGACCTCCGTGAGACCCAGGGCTTACGCTGCATCCACGAGATCGTGTACGAACGACACCGCAACGGAACCGCAGTAGCAGTGCAGGGAGCTGGTTTCAAGATCACTTATGCAGAGCTGCACCAGCGAGCGGCGGCCGTTTGCCGGGCCGTGCGGGAGCACCGGGGTGCTGCTTTAATGTGCATGGGTCGCGGCGAGGCTATAGGACCCACATTCCTTGGCATCCTGCAATCGGGCTTTCCGATGGTGCCTGTGGATGTAGCCTGGCCACAGGAGCGCATGAAGCAGTCCGCACTGGATGCAGATGTTGCAGCGGCCTTGGTGGAGCCCTCCTCACTAGCTTTGCTTCCTGAGCTGCCTTGCCCCACTCTTGTGGTGGACGGAACCTTCTATGCCAAGTACGCCGCAGAGCCGGACTTGTGCAAGGCTCATGAGGGAGACACGGCTCTGATGCTCTTCACCAGTGGCTCCACCGGAAAGCCCAAGGGCATCGTGCTCTCCCATGGCTACGTCACCGCGCTGGTGGCGGGCATCGCAGAGTCCAAGAGCATGTCTCCGGCTACAAAGACTCTGTGCTACCACTCCCCGTGCCTTAGCTGCCGCCAAAAAGAGGCTCCAGAATGCTCCAGAATTTGGGTTGTGGTTTCCAGGGGGCATGTTCCGAGGACTTGGATGCCCTTCTTGGACAACCTCTTTAGTCCCTTGGTGTCTGGAGGCACTTGCCTCTTTTTCCCAGAGAGCGAGAAGCACATAGAGCTTTGCCTGAATTATGATGGTGAGGTCGGAATGTCGGAATCCACGGGTAGTGAGTTTATTCCTGGCAAAGAAAGGTTGGGTTTCGGAGTAGGATGCATTCTTCTGAGAGGCAACGCTTGACTGCTTGACTACACTTCCTGCACTTGACTACACTTTCTGGGCCCAGGTGCTGCCCTCGGAACTCAACCAGTTCGCCAAGGAACATGGAGCTACACATGGGGGATTCGTACCGGCAGTGCTCGACCTTTTCGCGGAGGCAAGGGCCGTGCACACTTCATGGCAACATTACAATAAGCCCAGTTATAAGACTCTAAGAGGCCGCTTTTTAAGCTCAAAAGCACTCGCGGAATGCCCCTTTTTGAGCCTACAGAGTCATTCAAAAAAGGAGGGCCTGCCGCTGAGCCTCTGTCACATCGGAGTCGGTGGTGCGGCGGTCCCATCGGAGCTTTGCGAGCGAGTGGTGCAGATGCTTCCTGAGGCTCGGGCCTGTTTCCGATTCCGCTCACCACAGCCTGCTACACGAATTTCGAAAGTTCAAGATTCAATTTCTGAGACTAGTTGGAATCGATGCACGAAATCTGCAAGACGGGCCTTGCATGGAAGTTTGCTCAGCGGCCTGCGAAAGGCCTCCGGTGGTGCGCCTGGCATCCTCTACACGGGCCACGCTCTGTGAATGTTTTTTCGAGAGGGGGGGGGGGGTGCCAGCTTTGCATGTCCTGCAGGCATGGGTGTTGCAATGAAAGACTGCACTGTGATGGCATCAGGTAGCACTTAAAGTGTGAGGTTTCTCGAGACGCAGCAATGATGGTCAATTTCGACTGTGTTGTAAGGGATGATTGTATGCGGAATGGACCGGCGGGCATGGAGAAGCAGAAATCCCAGTGCTTGCTCACGCACGGTGCAAGCCGAAAACTTAGGCTACAGTGGTACGGAGCAGGGAGACGTCACGCAACTGCAGATGCTCGGTGATTAATTAATTCTGTTTCTGAACGCCACACAGCATCGATGAGCTGAATCCGCCAAATCAGCTTGAAATCGTAGGTACAGGATGAGTATGGACGAGTGAAACTGAGAGTGATACTCAGCAACCCCGACCTTGCCAGGAAAGAGTTTGCCTCAAGTTCTGAAGGTTCCGTGCATGCCCAGATTGAGTGAATTGCCCACATATCGCAGCGGCACAGTTTGTCCAAAGCGTGGGATCCGACGTGCCCGTCCCCAGCAGATCGGTTTAGAGGCCCTAAGCGCCCAACAGGTCCCTGCCTCGGGCAGTCCGAGATACTCCGAGCGTGAGTGCGGATGGACACCCCGCCGGGAGCTGTCCAAGAGTGAGAGTCGAGACCCGAAACCAGGAACCAATAGCAAAGTTCCACTTTGTCGGAGTCCTGAACGCGGTCTTCTCAACTCCCCTCGCCTCAATCTGTCCGAGAGTGAGGTCCAAACCCCGATACCAAAAAAAACCCAAAATCCCAAGCCCATCCAATCCCTCAAGCACAGCACAGCACAGCACAGCACCG